AGAACTTATCCCCTCTCGGAAATGGCCTATTTCATCCTCGATTTTTCGAACCTCTTGATAATTCGGTCTAATTAGCTTTTCCCAAAAAAGGCGTTTGAAAATCATGATTCCACTGTAAATAAAAGGGTCTAAACAAAAAACCCAAGATTCTACGCTAACACATTTACAAACGATGACCCAAAAATGAGGAACAATTTAACAGACCAAATACGGTCGGCAACAAAACAACAAAAACTTTATCAAACAACTGGAATCAGGATTGGTAAATATATACATTTTTAGCTATATAATTTTTAGCTTGTGCACTATATTAAGCATACCGTAAACTGCCGTTTATAAGCCCCCCGGTTATAGGCCCACCCAAAAAAATACATCCGATTATAAGCCCATCCGGATATAAGCCCCAGTTACAGTTTTGATTTTGTTTTGTAACTGAATTCGATTTATTGCTGCCTTTTTAAGGCTTCAATTGTAAGAGTAATAAATTTAAAACATACGTCGATCAACAGTGCTCTTGCTCATTTTGGCTATAAGCCCCCCCGTCTATAAGCCCACCCAAAACCCCTTACGAACTTGTATAAGCCCAGGGATTATAAGCGGCAGTTTACAGCATATTCCGGTTGTAAGCCCCCTCGGATATAAGCCCCCCGTTTAGAAGCCCACCCAAAACCCCTTACGAACTTGTATAAGCCCAGGGATTATAAGCGGCAGTTTACGGTATTCTTATCTGGATTTCTTCTCTTTTTTAAATCGAATTGAAAATTTTTAGTATTATCTAACATTTATTTTATTTTGGTGTCGTCTGCCTAAGATTTTCAAGTTATGTCAGTTCTTTTTTTCTGCTAAGTACCTCCGTGTTGAAATCCAATTTTACATTACGTTATTTAGTACTTCAACTATACCTCGTTATCAAAGCCAGCATTTTTGTCCCCACCCTGGTGGGCAGCTTTGAGTTTAGATATCAACTCTGTAGGCTTTACGCCAGCATTTTCCGCGAGGGTCCTGGGAATGACCTCCAAGGATTCGGCAAATTTGTCCATGGCATATTGTTCAAGGCCTGCACAAGTCTGACAGGAAACAGGACAAACAGTTAACGGCTAGTGCGCAATACAAGTTCACACGGTCAAGACTCTCCACAGCCACCATCCAAACTGGTCGCTTAGGAGAGGGGGCGCACGTCACCTGCTTGTAGGAGTCTAAAGGACGGGCGCCGGGTAGGGAGGAGAATGGGGAGAGGGAAGTTTTTACCTTTCATGTTTCCCCCCTCCCCCTGCCCCTTTTTTGCACTTTTGAGCTTTTTTCACACATGGAGGTTCAACTGTAGTTGGGAAACCAACAGCAGGCTTTTAAAACCTATCTTTGTAACAAAGTAAAAGCATGTGCAGTACAGTTACACGTTTCACATATGTAATTACCAAGCCTTAACCACTTTGAATTCAAAAGCAGAGTGACACTGATACATATATGTTAAGACCTGCAACTCAGCATACCTCTCCAAAGCTGGATACCTGCTTGGTACAAAGCGATCATCGCGGGTAAGCGCTTTAAACGTTTTTACTCCATCATCAACAGCTCGCTCAATATCGTCCATGATATTTTCGGTGAAACCCCGGATTACAACAGTAGATACAGCCGTCTCCTCGCGCTCCAAGACACAAGATTACAGGAGATGAAATGAGTAGGACTGGTGGCGAGACTTGAGATGCTCCTTTTGCGTGGGTGTGAAGGTATAAATTGAAGTCCTTTCGCCCGAAAGTCAATTCGCCGGACGTAAGTCGATTCGCCCGATGAGATACAAAACTCAAAGACAGGGTGAACATACTTATCGGAGATGTTATTTTAGTTAAGCTTGGATTCCATTTGTACATTCACTGTATTTTCACGCTTATTTCTTTCCTCAGGTTTAAAGACGACAAATACACATCGGGCGAATCGAAATAAACCGAGGGCGAATCGACCATTCCTCATTCCTCGTTACTAACATCAGCATCATCATTTAAGGCCAATAGAACAGATTCATTCTCTTAAACTTTATCATCTCTTGATTGCAACAATAATCTACTTCACTATACCTACAAGTAAACCTAAAATTTCTTGTTGCTTTTGCAAATAAATAAATCAATCAATAAATGAGTACCGTTATTAAGTAGTTCAGTACCTTGTTTAAAAATAGTAACCGAAGAGTCACCAATCCCTGACACCTTGATTTCATCACAGTGACCTATCTCCTCTGATGTGGGAGTTGTCTGGAATGATGGGAGACAAAAGTATTCAGTAACCAATGATTTTTAGTGCTGTCTTCCCCCTATTTTTCAGACTAAACTCAGTTAAACAAAATGATTAACGCTGCTTGTTGCATTATAGTGATTCCTCTTACTGGGATTTTACTTCATGACTATTACTACTACGGTGGTAACTTCACACCAGGGCTCTCTCTTCTACCCATTCCCTAAGGGCGTCTGGAAAAGCGGGAATCCGGAATCCGGAATCCGGAATAGGAACGGGAATAGGAACAGGAACAGGAACCGGAACCGGAATAGGAACTGGAATGGGAAGAGAAACCTATAAAAAGCAGGGACAACATTTACCTTAATTTAAGTTTATCTGGATTTAATTCCTGTTCAGATTACATACGAAAAATAAGGGAAAAATAGAATAGGAACCGGAATAGGAAGGGAAATATAAACAGTGTATAGAGATATGAAAAGAAAAAGATATAATCGTGATATAAATAAAAAGGCAGAGAAATAATGAAAGAAACAAGAAAACACCCTTGAAATATTAATCTAATTAACCTTTCTTTATCTTTAGCCTATGACACATTGTGTTTTCGTGCCAAACATAATAGCGAACTTAAGCAACGAGAACGCTGACCGTCGCTTGATGGAACGTTTCTGTCTCACACAACGAATCTGAATTCTTCCTCTTACCTTCCACTGTGCGAATTTGTTGAGTCAGAGCACCTAAAGACAGAAAACATCCACTTCCAGTTTCCATTTTTAATGTCCTGGACATCAACGTTCTGCTTGCTTATTAAGGTCCCTATTGCACGCGGTTGAGGTAGATGAAGTACTGGCTGGGATGGGTTGGGGGGGGGGAGGGGGAGGAGGTACGTGTTAATACCCTTTTTAAGCTGTGGACTATCTATCTCTGGTTAACTTCCCAATTTAGCACCGTACAATATATATAAATATATATATATATATATATATATATATATATTGTACGGTGCTAAATTTTATATATATATATATATATATCCCATGGGTGTCTCGTATACACATGGTCTGACAAATAATATTAACATGTGATAACCACCTTTCTGTGAGAGACAAAAGGAACCTTAAGCTCTGACGACGGCAAAGCCAGCGAAAACGCCACTGAGAAATTGAATTTTTTCATTAATTCCGAATTGCCCAGTCTTTTAAAGGTTGGGAAATGAAGCTGGAGACCGCGTCCGAGCTCAGAAAGACACAATAAAATTTATTGCCTGCCGTTCACGTTCTCAAGAGAACTTAAGATTTGATCATTTACATCGTAGTTGTGCATACGCGGTGAAGAAATTGACAGAAAGCGCGATTCGCTGCACTCGCAAAGCTGTTGCTTTACTTATTTAACTTGCGGCTTTTTCTACCTTCTCGCTGCCGTATTATAAAGAGATTCGGGGAGGGGGGAGCATGATACCAGAGTAGTGTTCTTATTTTTTGTATAAATTGAATTCGAATTAAAATAATTTAAAGTAAATGATATCCCTGTTCTTGTATTGGTTCCCCTTCACATTGCTGTTCCTGTTCCGTTGCTGTTTCCGGTTCCGGTTCCGGTTCCTGTTCCCATTCCCGTTCCTATTCCGGATTCCGGTTTCCGGCTTTTCCAGACGCCCTTCCCTAAAGCGAGAAGGACAGGACGACGAGGAAGTCTGGGAACAATGTCTCATGATATCAAACGTCCTTCTAGGAAAGATAGCTGCAGATTCCCACAAAAGGTATCAGAATTTCATTTTTTAAGCGTTGCTCAAATTCACTGGCACCCCCTAAAAGAAACCAGTTTCATATAAAAATAATAACGTGAATTGAAAGTAACGGGTGAGCAAGCTGCCAAAGATTGGAGCAGCACTCTTCTAAGGTGGGGGACTTGCCCGAATACTACTGTTATTCTCATGTAACATCGTAGGCTCGATTTCCACTGCTCTTCTGACTGCAGTCTGGTCTTGTCCCCCCTTTAGGAGAGGAGCTCAGGCTTATTTTCAGATCAGTGGCTGATAGTCGAGCTAACAAAATGGTGGGGGAATAAAAAAGCTATTAAGCAAACTTACAAATTTTGGAAGTATTGTAGCCCCAACTGATCGACAGAGTCTTCTCAAATCAAACTTTGAATTTAACCTGCAAACAATGATATTTGTTTTGCAGCAATGTTGCAAAACAAGTTGCACGTTTTTTTGTTGCCCGTTTTTCAGTCGTAACTTAAGAAAAAAGAGAGACTGCTCGTAGTCTATTGCATAGTTGAACCTTGAATTTTATTGGTTCCATTTAAAAAAAAACGTGAGAATCTTTTGTTTTCAAAAAACGTTGTGATTGGATAATCTTCTTCCAAGTGCCCCGGTTCGAGTAGTCACATTGTAGGACTATAGCATTGAATGCGCATCTGTGAATACGAAAACAAAGGTAGAAACATGTCTTATTTCCACTAAAATCAAACCCAGCGACATCGTTATTACGGACAGTTTTTCACGTCCCTAGATCTTACATCTTCTCTAAATTCTACCCGCTTAATAAGGACACCACGTGACATGATGATTTCGACATTGCTGATCCTAGCAATACGCAGGATGCATGTCATACATGAACCTTTTATATGGCCCAACACGCCTCAAGTCCTTCAGTCCCTCATAGCTCAGTGCTTAGAGCATCCAACCAGTGTACAAGGACTCAGATTTTTTTCTTTGTCCCATGTTCGCTACAAGTTGATCACATCACACATCATTCATTTCTTCACCGAGCTTAAAATTTACCATCTTTCTTTATATATGACACCTCGTTAATATGGACACTTTTCTATGCCCCCCCCTCCCTGCAGTGTCTGTATTAATGGGTTTTGATTGTATCTGTAAAATATTCCAAAAAGATATTCATCACAAATTGTCTTTATTGACGACAGTGTATATTTTACACATGTGAAGAAAAATGCATCATTCATACAACATCTCTTGTGCAGATTACAAGAATGGGGACTACCCCAAGATATACAATGATCCAGTGCAGTCCAAGAATCATGGTTTTACGAAGGCTGGAAAAAAAATTTAAACTAATATTCTAAAAGTACCAAATGAAACATCAAATAGGCGGTGCAACTTTTATTGAGGTGAATTTCTTTAGGCAGAGAGATCGGCTCAATACCCCCTGTCAATAATTAAGTCGTAGCGTGTAATTTTGCAGTTCTTCAGGCAGAAAAGTTTTATTGTGGCGTGTAGGCCTGCCTTAATGCATTTGGGCCATTCGAAGTACTGCCCACAACATTTGATTTAGATTTCAATTACTCCACTTTTATGTGAGCATCAAGAAGTTTAAGGAGTTAATATTGACATGTGAAAAGTCTCAATATTTTTATGTGAAAGCATTAAAAAACCGGGCCACTAAAAAAGGAAGTTCAGCACTTAAATACTACTTAGTACGTGCTATTTTCTTAGGGCACTTACCATAAAGTAAGAAATGGCCAGCTAGACCAATACAGTTTAGGCCAGATTAGTTTGTGATACTACCAAGTCTTACTAGTGTGTACTGCAAAGCAACCTTGTCCCCAGACTCCTTTCCTACTCATCCCCTGGTCGGAGCGAGAGCAAGAGAGTAGGAGAGGACCATGGGAACGAGGCAGTACACCAGAGATAGATTTTTGAGCAAAAGCTCCCCAAATTAGCCTGAGAAAACAGCCAACACTTTGCAACGCCACCACTGGCTTTGTTTAGTTGAAAATTTGCTTCAACCAATCAGAAGCAGTACCCAGATCTGGGTAGTGATGCGTGATCTGCCAGTATGGAACTGATTTCTGTGCTTGTTCCTCAGACGTCATTAGGGAAACCAGTGGTGGAGTCACAAAATGTTGGCTGCTTTCTCATGCTATGCTAAAATAGGGTTTTTTCATTTTCAAAAATGTTTGGTCCGGCAGTGCGACAGATGGTTTTGTCTTTTGATACGTGCCCTTAGATTATAACATTTGTTTGACAACAAAAATTGTACCTCATGATCAGGAAACAGATTTCTGCTTTCATTTATCAAAGGAGTGCTGCTCAAGTTTTTAAACTATGTTGGGAAAGAAAAAGAAAAAGACATTACTGAACACAGGAAGGAGATGCTTTTGATCATTTAAAAGTAGCTCAGGAACACCATCAGGAAAAAATTAGAGTCTGTACCATAATTTTCATGAATGTTCAATGTAGCGATTCATGTTCATCATTTGGTGTTCCAGCAATATGTTGTTACTTTATCACACGCAGAACATCAACAGTTTTCAGAAAACTTACGCTTGACTCAAGCAATGCTCCTACCATCTGAAAAGAAAAAAAAAAGGCCTTTGTTTAAGGTGGAAAATAACAGCCTCAGTAACCGGCTGTTACTTGCAGATCAACATGTAAAGTAATTTTCTGTGTTCAATGACTCCATTTATCTACACATACCATCAGATAATAAGTGGAAAAGACCTCACTAGCACTCCTACAAGAGGCTTAAGGTTTTAACACTTTCATCATTTGATACATGTTACTAAGATACAAAATGTAATAAATCAGAGACAAAATGATTCTGTTTGTTTTCATTTGATTGAAGCCTCAGTCACTAAGGCAAGAGTACTGTCAGATGAGACAAAAGCAAACTTGTGAAAATTTAGGAAAAAACTTCAAAGCTTATGGAAGGTTAACATCTCAAAATTTACACCTAGTGAGTTTTTTTTAGCTATAATGCACAAAAATGCTTAGAACTTGACAGTGAAGACAAAATAAAACTTCTGTTTAAGGAATCACTGTATCATACTCATACAAATGTACAAATGTACCTTTTCACCAGGCCAACAGCCAGCATGACCAGCTCTGCCCCATATTAATCTTGACCATCAAGCAGCATGATGATAAAACACCACCATCATCTAGCCAAACTATCATTGAATGGAAAAATTAAAGTGCATGACAACATCAAAATGCACTCAGTTAATTTTACAGTAAATTTTCTTCTTTTAAAACTTTCACGGGCCAACATGTAGTTTCAATCAATGGACTTCATAACAATGTCATCATCCACAGAATTAATTCTGAGTGGTGCATGATCTTTTAATCATAAGACTGACACAACAACAAAATACAAACACATTTTATAGCATCTTCAGGATTCTTTAAAATAAATTATACTATGATCCTTGCATTGGGATAAAACAATTTTAAAAAGGTAAATTAAAAGCACATAAATCCAGTTTCAGTGAGCCAGACCCAGGTGGAACTTAGCCCAGTTTCAGTAGCTT